TTTATTTGACAGGTAGAGTTACAGACAGTGAGAGAGAGACAGAGAGGTCTTCCTTCCATTGGTTTACTCCCAAAACAGCCGCAATGGCTGGAGCTCTGCTGATCCGAAGCCAGGAGCCAGGTGCTTCTTCCTGGTCTCCCACATGGGTGCAGGGGCCCAAGCACTTGGCCCATCTTCTGCTGCTTTCCCAGGCCACAACAGAGAGCTGGACCGGAAGAGGTGCAACCGGGACTAGAACCAGCACCCATATGGGATGCCAGCGCCGCAGGCAGAGGATTAACCTAGTGCGCCACAGCGCCGGCCCTGTAACCCGGTTTTCTTAACCAGCATCTTAACCACTAGGCCTTCAAGTTAGACTTTATATTTTTTTGTAAAAGTTTTATTTTTACTGAACAGTTCAATGCATTTTCCTCATAATGTATACCTCATTGTCTATATGACCATTGTAACTTGGACAAAACTGTCAAATATCAGAATATTTACTGACAAGCACAGACAATTTTTCTTTTCATAGAAGCTGTTAAATAAAACCAGTTACTGTGAAGCACATCGTAAAAGATTTTGGACCTGTCTTGAAACATGCCTCTGAGCCCACAAACGCTATTAAGAGAAAATTATTATTAAACTGTTTCCTATTACTTGTAGTTCATAAAACATCCAAAATCTAAACTCCCTGAGATGTGAACAGTGTACACCTGTTTCAAGTTAGTTTCTCTTCCACTCTGAACTGGGCCTGGGGCCCCCAATGGCTGCTGACTAAGTAGTGAGTGAATAAAGTTATTTGGCTCTGTCCCCATGTTGACGAGGGTGAGTATACACCCTTACCTCTCCGTCCTAGCCTTTGGGTATCTAACAAGTGCCTACTGGGCTGTTTTCACCTGTCAATCATCTGGTGCCATAGGATTGCCAGGTCAGTGTCCTGTCCCTGCAAGCGGTGGGTCTGTTCCCCCATGGGCAGCGCACAGCAGGAAGTGAGCAGTGAACACCCCGGCCAGGTGGCCCTTCCCACCCCCAAGCCCTGGAGTGGGTGAGGCATCCACTTATGGGAGATGTTCCTCCCACAGGTACTGTTGATCAAGCCTGAGGTTGTCCTCCCTGCTTCAGGTTCCATCTTTTATGAAACAGATATGTTGTCTGATACCGCATCTAAGTGTTGGAGAATCCAATGCAGATTGACCGGAAGCACTTAGAAAATGTGGGGTGGGAGTCGTCCCCCAGTACTGAGCTGCGCTGTTTCCTCTGTTAGTCAGTCCCAGCTGCTCAGGGCAACAGGTTGGTTTCTGTGGTGATAACTGGTACCAAGTGACCTTTTAAACTGTTCTTCACCAGCTCGGTGTCCTCCTTCTCTGAGCTGCAGTTCGTTTTATTTGTACTTGACTCAGTTGTTTTTTCCTGTTATTCTAATTACTACACCACGGGATTAGAAGTTAGAATTATGAGGTTTCATTTTTTAATATAGAATTAAACGGAGGAAGACTAGGCAAATAATTTTATATATAAAATCTTGCATATACTTATTTCAGTAAAATTAAAATCTCTCTGGATGAATACTCTAATTTTCCTATAAAGTTGATGTAAGTATCAAGTGAGTACTGTAGAATTATGTTTCAATAGAGCCAAAGAGTCCATGTTATGAGCCAAGTGTTAAACTTCGCCATCATCGTGGCTTAGCATTCCCTTGCATCCATTTTGAACATTGTTCTTCTGTTAACAATACTTTATTGTAGGCTGGCGCCGCGGCTCACTAGGCTAATCCTCCCTCCACCTTGTAGCGCCGCCACTCCAGGTTCTAGTCCCGGTCAGGGCGCCGGATTCTGTCCCGGTTGCCCCTCTTCCAGGCCAGCTCTCTGCTGTGGCCAGGGAGTGCAGTGGAGGATGGCCCAAGTGCTTGGCCCTGCACCCCATGGGAGACCAGGAGAAGCACCTGGCTCCTGCCATCGGATCAGCGCGGTGCGCCGGCCTCAGCGCACCAGCTGCGGCAGCCATTGGAGGGTGAACCAGCGGCAAAAGGAAGACCTTTCTCTCTCTCTCTCTCTCTCTCTCACTGTCCACTCTGCCTGTCAAAAAATAAAATAACAATACTTTATTGTAGAAAAAGTGGAAATATTTAGAACTGAGAAATCAAAAGTTAATAGGACGATCTTATCACTCAGAGACTAGCCACTGCTGGCACTCTATGTGGACACGCATGTAGAAGCACAGAACACACACTTCTCTCCATCCCAGGTGGCTCTTGCTGCTGTTGAGGGCCTGTGTCAGCAGCTGTTGATGTCCAGTATCAGCAACTTTAGCCAGACACGTGTGAACCTGAGGGAAGCAAGGGTGTCCAGCCAGGACGGGCTGCCGGCTGGCTGGTTCCATCAGCCCAGAGAGGTTAGCAAGGACACGGTGCTTTTGATTCCCCCTGTCCTGCCAGCAGCTTTGTCAACTTCATGATGAGGTCGTTCGCCTAGTGGGCATAAAATTGGGTCCATGAGCACCTTGGACACAATGACCAAGCTGCACACTGGTTCCAAGGGTGAGATGTTGACCTCTTCACGTTGCAGGGCAGGGTAACAGGTGCTGACACTGTGACAGAGCTGGGTCTGCAGGGCATGGTGCCCACACACTGTCTGTAGAAATTGTTCTTCTAACTGCAGTTAGCAGAACTGGAATGCTTCTTTGTATTTTTATTTAACAAATCAGTGTCTTCTGTTTAGAAGTATTTGAAGAGAAGAAAGAAATGGTTCCCTGGTGAGCTGTTCTAAACTTACCTTAGGTTCTCCAACTAGTCAGCATTTTTGTAATGTCTTTTTTGGCAAATAAGTAAACAAATAACTTTTTCTTCATGAATTTTTAGTTCAGCCAGTATGGAAGTTAGAAACTGAAAGAAAACAAATGAGCTCAAAAATAATACCATAGGTGTAAATTTCAGTATTTTTGGGCCGGCGCCGCAGCTCACTAGGCTAATCCTCCGCCTAGCAGCGCCGGCACACCGGGTTCTAGTCCCGGTCGGGGCGCTGGATTCTGTCCCGGTTGCCCCTCTTCCAGGCCAGCCCTCTGCTGTGGCCAGGGAGTGCAGTGGAGGATGGCCCGGGTGCTTGGGCCCTGCACCCCATGGGAGACCAGGAAAAGCACCTGGCTCCTGGCTCCTGCCATCGGATCAGCGCGGTACGCCGGCCGCAGCGCGCCGGCCACGGCGGCCATTGGAGGGTGAACCAACGGCAAAGGAAGACCTTTCTCTCTGTCTCTCTCTCTCACTGTCCACTCTGCCTGTCAAAAATAAAAATAAAAAAATTAAAAAAAATTTCAGTATTTTTGTTCTTTATTTGCTTACTTTCAGTACCCTTAAAACAGTGTCATAAATAATATACAGAATTATTGGGCATTTAAAAAGAATAATTCTGAGAAATAACAGGCATAGTTGAAATTACTGGGGTAAAAAAATCAGATGTTAAGGAAAAAAATTATATATTCAGTTTTTAAATTATACTACTAAATGTATAACTTCATGTGTAGTAAATATTCATATTTAATTTTAGGTGCCAGTGTAACATACTAAAATAAAATGGAACAATTTCTTTGGTTCCATTAAAGAATCTATAAAGGAGTCATAAATAATTATAGTAAAACTCTTTTTGAAATATTTTTATGAAACTAAAAATTGAAAACTTCCTAATAGGGAAATTTTCTTCAATGAGATATGAAATAAGTTAGTCATAGAGACCTCAGACTGTAATATATCCTTCGGGAACTCTGAATAAGCAGTAACTTCTTAAAATAATTTTATATAATGTGTAAGAATGCAGAGTTTTTGAAAAAGCTCTCCAAAAGGTAAGAAGAACAAGATTATGATAGCCAGTTCCTCTGGCGAGATGATCTTGTTTTGCATGTTTTTAGTGTTACCAGATGAGAGGTCTTAGATTATGCGAGTCTAGAAGGGCTCTGAGTACCTAGGACTAGAAAATGAACAAAACCATCCCCTGGAGAGAGAACCGCCATGGTGGGTTCAGACATTCCCCCTGGAGCCCTGTGACGTGTCTAGTGTTTTGGAAATCAATACTTAGACTAATGGTGTTGGTGCTCAGAACTCCTCTTGCCCTCATGCCCGGTTCACCAGCCTTGATGTAGTTTGCTGAGCTTTGCTTTTTGTTTCAAACAAACTCTGACTCCCCACCCACATCCTCAACTAGGACAATAATACAGAATCATGGAATGAGCGGCGGCTCCAGGACAGCCATTTCAGTTCACAGCTGCGTGACTGTATGGAAGCTGTCAGCCTCATCAGTCTTCTTAAATGAGTAGTACACTAAGAGTCTTTCTGTGTCATCCCCACGTGAGAACACCTCCTCTCTCCGCCGGAATCAAGCTGCCGTGGCTCACAGGAAAGGTGGATAGGATCAGATGAGTCTCAGGGCTTCCTTTCTCTCTGGAATGGGCATGCATGGGATGAATCTGGGCATGACCTAGGAGACTGTCCCTTGTGCTGGAGGACGTGGAGGAAGAGCACAGGTGAACTGTGTGGTGTGGAGTTGAGAATTCCGGGAGGATTTCAGTTGCACACGGCAGCACCGTGCCAGTGTGGCAGTAGACATGCCAGCGCTGTAATGAGCGCTCTGACCCATGCCCAGGCAGGGCAAGTCATGACAACTTCTGCTGTCCAGGCTTGTGGGTTTGCTGGTGTAGCCCTCTCATTGAAAGGTTTGTGACCCTTGTGGACCAAGGCCCTGCCCGAAAAGCTCTGCTCCTTTCGAATTTCTTCCAGCTGATCTTGTGAGGAGTTCTCAGAGGAACTCTGGGCTTCTGACCAGTCTAGATGCTATGTTCCAAGCCGTTTTCCTGCCAGCAGCAGGTTGGTGTGGCTGTGGAGCACGCTTGCACTTCCGGCTGGAGTGTTGCCTGGCCAGCGTGGGCATAGCTGCCACCACATTCCTGAAGTTTGCTTGTGTAAGTTAATGTTGTCGTGTAGGTGGGGGTTCCTGGGAGTGGCTGTAACACTGCTGTCCACTCTTCTGACACAGAGCCATCACACTGGAGAATCAGCTGGTGATCCTTGAGACAGCAGCTGGTGACGCCGGGGCCTACTACGTGCAGGCTGTCAACGAGAGGAACGGAGAAAACAAGACAAGCCCCTTCGTCTACCTGAGCGTAGCACGTGAGTTCCCAATGATCATTCGGAAACAAAGAAAATCGCATTTAAATTAATAACCACTGTTGGGCGCAGCTTTTGGCAGTACAGCTTCTCTCTCTAGTGTGGTGGTTACGGTTTCGTATTGATCCTGTGTAGAATTCAGAGAGTTGTGGAGCAGCTTTCTCCGTTGACGTGATGTACAGACATCATGGATCTAGTGGATATTTCTGCATGCAAGATCTTATTTGTTTTGTGGATTTTTTGCTTTTGTGTACTATTACTTATACTATTTTGAACAACAAAAGTCTTTTGACATAAATGTGTTGTATTCATTAATTTTATTTGAGACTAGGTTAGGCACAAGCCGTTATTTCTTTAAGAATAAAATCCTTGGGAGAAGAACTATCCATATAGTTATAGTAAAATTAGCAGTATTTATGCATAATCAGTTGGCTGTTTTGAGTTCCTGATTTAACTGAAAGCCTGAATCATGACAAGAATATACACAAATCACAGTTAGATGTACAATTTATTTAAGAACGTTTAAGTCTGAGAAAACAATGTTTGACCTTTGAAATTCTAACATCAAGAGTTAATTGCTAGGAAAGGGGAAAATGACCAAAAGCAGAAAGCCTGAGCTTAACACAGTCCAGGCAGAGGGCAGGTCACCTGGAGTTTGCACTGTGCAGCTTCATGATCTGCAGGGAGGTTACTCTGCCTGCCGTGGAAAAACACACTTGGGAAACAGCCATGGCAGATGATGAATTTCAAAATACTGTGTTCACATCAGACAAGAGTGAGTTATATTGGCTTATCTGTATAGTAGTAGATTTCATTTTTTTTATATTTTTATTATTATTTTTTGACAGGCAGAGTGGACAGTGAGAGAGAGAGACAGAGAGAAAGGTCTTCCTTTTGCCGCTGGTTCACCCTCCAATGGCTGCCGCGGCCGGAGCACCACGCTGATCTGATGGCAGGAGCCAGGTGCTTCTCCTGGTCTCCCATGGGGTGCAGGGTCCAAGCACTTGGGCCATCCCCCACTGCACTCCCTGGCCACAGCAGAGAGCTGGCCTGGAAGAGGGGCAACCGGGACAGAATCTGGCGCCCCAACCGGGACTAGCCGCGGCGCCGGCCCGATTTCATTTATTAAAAGAACACCCTGAGGGAACGGTTTTCCCTTTCAGGTGCTTTAGGAAGTACCTGGGCTGGGGTAATGGTGTTTGCTTCACACGGAGCTTGAAGGGCATAGCTGCTTAGGCCCAGCAGCTTCCCTGGGTAGATGCTGACAGCAGACTCTGGGAGCAGGAGTCTGGGGGAACTCACTGGGTGCGTTTCCACTTGCCCACTGCATTCCTGTCGGTGGGTCTGAGTGGCCATGCCGTGCCGTCATCCAGCCATCAGCTCCTCAGTCCCAAGGAGTCGAATCTTGCTCCTCAGACTGCAGGCTGCGTGCAGATTTAGGATCAGCGAGGCCTTTTTAATGCTTGGGCGCATCACGCCCATTGACTGGGTGGGGAATTCACAAAGCTCAGCACATAATGCCCTGTTGTTTAAAGGGCTGTCAGAACCAAGAGTCACAGCAGAGATGAATATGATTTATCAAGGTTTTCTTCAGTAGGGATAATGAAAGATGGAAATTGTATTACCAAGTAGATTGTGATTATTTTTAATGATTTCCAAGTTTTACAGCCAGCGCCATTTATTCTGTTTAGTGAATCTAATTCAGCATTCAATTGTAATATAAATACCAGGGTAATAATAAGCCAAAGGGATACAATTCTGGGTCAGACAAGGAGCTTTGCTTTTGTGTGTAGAAGATGGGAAAATAATTCCACAGAAATCCTGGCTAACATGATGCTGACATCACAAAGTTACAAAATAGACTGCACCTCCTCCTTTCCTACAGGCCTACACTGTAACCAGCCAGTAGAAAATAAAATTAACATAGTGAATCTGCAAATTGCCTTTCTAATGCAATAGTATGGCATTAGATAATTGGAATATGTAAATTTTTCAATAATTTCTGTTCCTACCCCAACCAAAAAGTACACTAGAAGCTGCTCATAAATATTATAATTAACTGGCTTGCATTTTATTCCCTTGTATATTTTTATCTTTTCACTGGCACCAAGTGAAATGTGTAAAAGGTGAGATATAATGAGGTGGATAATATAGACTTACTTTAAATCTTAGGAGAAAGCCCTGCGTTTTGTTCCTTTTTTATATTCTTTGCTTTTTAGCAGGACTGCGTAAAATGTGAGAAGTAAGGAGTTTGAGGAACCTGCCTTATTTTAATTCTTCAGAGAACCTTCCTGTTGACATATTGGATTTAGCGAAATGTTAAATGGCACCCAATTATGCATTTTCTCCCTAAAAGTTCTATTTTGAAAACCTGTAAAGATCAGAAGTCTTGATAAATCTGCAGAAAACCCCATGATTGTGTTTAAATGCTGCTCCTGGCTGGACCACAGTGAGGGCCCTTAGCAGGGGACGCTGTAGGTCAGGACCCAGCCTCTCAGCACCTTGGAAGAACCTGAAATATTGAGGAACTCACCACTTCTCTGGATTTATGTGAGTTAGATACTTTCAAGACCCATTCCCGCTGCTGGTGAGACGCAGTGTGTGCCGCGCAATAAGACGTCTTCTTGTTTTCCAACAGAGGCTTCTGTAAAAACACCAAACAGGATTGATGAAAAATTTTTTAAAAAATTGCCAGCCAGCATTTCTGAAGACTCAAAAGAGACTCCAGACAATTATCACTTAAGGAAGACAAATTTTTCTTTGGTGTCAGAAGAATAAAGTAGGAGACCTTAGTGTGGTAAATATGATTACAGTAGTGGGGTACTGGAGATAAATGCCAGGTGGATTGTTCTGTAACTAATTTAAAATTGGAAACTGTCCTATGGCTCTCACTCTTACTTCCTGGTATAACAGTGAGCTGTTTCCTCAACAAGTAGGTAGCAGCAGGGGTCCAGCCCTGTGTCAAACCATCTTAATGAGTGACCTGCCACCACCCAGCCAAGAGAAGAAAATACATTTTCATGAACAACTGCATCCCTAATGGTTCAAAAACCTCACCATCTTTGCAGTTGCGAAATATTGTGGCTTTACTTGAAGCTTATGGAAATCAACAGATAAAGTACGCTTAGATTTTTTTTAATAATTTTTTTAAGAAGTGTGAATGTTAGGAGTGACTTCAGACCCCTAGCAGTACCGTAGCCTGCTGTTTGTGCATGTTTAGTGGATGGCATTATTGTCTGTCTCCCCCCACTTCTGTTTGGTTAGGAAGATAAATTACAGCTTGTTGCACACAGATAGCGCCGTCAGGAGAGAGAGGTCCTGACCTCCCCATCCCCTTGCTCCCAGGGAGAGCCGCCTGCAGTACCGGGGTGGGTTCTCTTTGAAGTTCTAATGTGATGTGAAGCCAGCAGATGTTCAGGACGTAGGTGGGACTGTCTAAGCAACCTGCATGAATTTTTCATGGCCAGCTCCCACAGCTCAGGTACACACCAGAGAGTGAATGGGCTGAACTTCCCCCGAGAACAGACATTTCTATTCTGAGGTCACACCCAGGCAGACTTTTATAAACCTGTCAACCTGTTTTTGGCTCTTGCTTTGAAGGTTTTACATTGAGTTAACGTCTGCAGATCAGATCTTCTGAACTGAATTAATGTGTGAACGAGAGTTTCTTCTTTAAAAAAATATAAAAAAATCCCTAGAGTTAGGAGATGAGAATTCTGTAGAGTGATTACTCAATCATTGTTTAAAGGCCATCGTACATACGTTAGACACATCATCAGTTCTGATCCAATATTCAAGATGTCCAGTGTAATGAGATTCTCGCCAGGGATGAAGCTTAGATTAAAACAGAAATGACTGCCTCTCTCCTTCCTGTTTTTTTCACCTCTTTCATTTTAATGTCTCCTCTTCAAACAACATTTGCAGATAGGATATCATTTCAGCTGATCCTCCTTCAGGCTGACAAACCCTTGCTTTTAATTCTGAAGGCCACTTAACATTCTTTTGTCCTCTACAATGCTAATTTAACTGCAAACCTCATATATGTTTAGTAGTGGGAAGTAGATTCCTGAGAATAATGTCTTCCAACAACCATCTGAGAAGACTGCCGGGTAAAACATGGCTTTTGTATGTCTGGATAAACTTCCGTCATATTTTCCTTATTTCTTTAACCATTAAAGGAGGAAGGGAAGCAGGCACAATCCTTCCAAATGCACTTTGACATCAACTAGATTGCTGAAGCAATAGGAATGGCTTCAGATATTACTCAAAACCAGTCCGAGGGCAGTACCCACTTCACAAATACACAATTTAAAATCAAGCCACAGCTGTATAGGTCAAATGAGACTGTGCTGCCAGGATTTTCAGAAGCATAAATAGCAAGTATTTTATGGTAAAGTTGGAAGTTCAGTCATTTGGCTACATAAAGAACCTGCTGAGTGGGGTGTTGTAATCTGTTTTCTGTTACCGTATTGAAATACCTGAGGCTGGAAACTTTACAAAGAAATTTTATTTAGCTCATTGTTTTGGAGGCAGAAAGTCCAGACTGAGTGATGCCAGCTTGGCCAAGGGCCGGTGCAAGAGGGCAGCACAGGTGGAGTGCGTGCAGGGGCCACCAGTGGACAAGACAGGAAGCTGGAGCTTGTGGAGGGGCAGCTTACTCTTGTAGATTCCTGCTTCAGGCCCCCGCAGGAGCAACCTCATTCCCTCAGAAGGCAGCACCCCCAACGACCCAGTGTCCTCCTACCAGGCTCTGTGTCTTAAAGGTTCCCACCGCCTCCCAGCACTGCCACACTGATGACAGAGCCATACCCAACCCTAGTGTGGGCTGCGGGTGTGTATGGAATACAAGGCTTGCTGTGGCTCTGCCTCCTGGAGCTGAGGTGGGTGGAGCCAGCTGCAGGGCGTGGTCTCTGAGCTCAGGGGGTGGAGCCAGCTGCAGGGCGTGGTCTCTGAGCTGAGGGAGGTGGAGCCAGCTGCAGGGCGTGGTCTCTGAGCTGAGGTGG